CAAAATGGAGATCTGTGAAAATACAGATGTGTGGCAGTGAGGATCAGAGGGCATGGGAGACAATAGGTGTGTGACAGGTCGGTATCAGGGGAAGAAAAGGAGGGAACGTTGACATGGTGTTAGAATGTAGTTGGTAAAATGTAAAGAGGTTACCTGGGGTTATTGGATGGCAGGCAGGTTATAATGTGCCATAAATACAATGGCTATATTTAGTCCATGATTTTTTTGTATCCAGTAGATTAATGACGTGAAGTTCATAGGCTTATCCACAAACAGTGTTTTGTATATTCGCTTTGAGAATTATAACTGAGAGATTGGAGAGAGAGTGGTTGTCTTGCAAAAGGTGTGCACTCACAGGCAATTGGGTATTTTGTCTTTGATAGAGTTTGGTGTGCATTCATTCTGATATGCAGCTGTCATTTGGTTTCTCCTATATATTTTTAATCAGGACATTTAGTGCACTGGATGAGGTATATTGCATTTCCAGAGGTGCAGGTGTAAGATCCAGGAATAATGATGGTTCTGTTGTGGGGTGTAGTTATTGTGGGAGTGGTTTATTATACTTGTTGCGCTGGCAGGTTTTACATTTTTTTGGCCTGGCATCCATTCAATGTGCTTTGGGCTGTAGGAAGTTTGCTTCTGGTGATGAAGTTGGTGAGATTCAGTGCTTGTTTAGATGCCAGGATGGGTGGTGGATTATTGATTGCAATGCATTAGGGGAAGTTTGATCTTAGGCTCCTACCTTAATTTGAATTGATTATCCTCAGCTTTTAAAGAAATTCTCATATGGAGAGGCCTTTATCAGAAGCATGTCAGTTTAGCAGAGGCCAAAGGAAACAAAAAAGATGCCTATCTCAAAGTTGTGGGAGTTTGGCACAGAGCACAATAGTATAATTCTTGAGTAGTAGGTCACAGGGGTATCCAGAACCAAAAAAAAGTTCTGATTTGGCTTTTATTCAGCACCTACTGTTTTGCTGCAGGCCTGAAAATGTATTAAGAATTAAATGTATTTTTTGACGTCAGAAAAGGTTTAACTTATACAATGTTCAGCATTATAAACATGAGCAGTTCAGGCCTGAGCAAAGGTAAGTTTGTGCAGACTCATAGTCACAAGGTTTCGAAAAGGTTAAAAAGCCTGTCTGACTCAATCTCGTATTGTATTATCTGCTTACTATAGAGTAAGAAATAAATTCCAAGCTAGAAAAATAAAATAAAAGATATCACATTGAAATTTCTTTTGAAAAGGCAGGAGTATTTTTAGAAATGAAGAAAACAATTGACAACAATACCCTTTTTAATACCTTTTTTTCTTTTACAGAAAAATTCTCTCTTTGAAAATGTTTTTTTAAAAACAAACATTTTTGAGAAATGGAAGCAAGTGATTTTTTTCCCCATTTTTTTAAATAACATTTTAAAAAACCTGCAAGTTTTAAATTCAGAGATTCATAGATTGTAAGAGACTGGAAGGGACCTTACAAGATTATCAGGTCAAGCCCCGCTGCACTATGCAGGAAAGACAACTGGGGTCAGGTGACGCCAGAGAGGTGACTGTCTAGTCTCCTCTTGAAGATTTCCAGGGTAG